ATATGTAACATTATCTGAGTTTTCTAAGATTCCAAAGATGGTACAGACTACTTAGGTCTTATTCAATTTTGTGGTCCTTGGGTTTTGTTTTTTGTTTTTACCTATTAGGCGTCATCTATTGCTTCCTAAATGGAATCGCCCTATAAACGTCCCCTATCATCATAGCCATGGTTGTATATACAAGAAGTGAATGAAAGGCAAAGGAAACATCACATTTCAATCGTATAGGTTCAATGACTTGAGAAAAACTCACACTACAGCAACAGTGACTGAGGTAAAATTGAATGTACACTGAGTAAAAGGTTTAATTTGTGATATCCCAAATCTAACTCAGCAGTTAGCAGAATTGTGTGGGGTTTTAAATATTTTCTTTAAATGTTCTGTGTATAGTACGTACAATAAAAAACAGTAACATTTGTAAACATGCAGGAAAAAAAAAAAAAGAGTATCTGGCCACACAGTTCCCTTGCTGAAACCCTTCAATAATATCCCATTGCCCATCCTTCTCCCTTCCACAAATATTTACTGGCTGCCTCCTATAAACCAGACAATGTTATGAAACCTTCAGCTAAACCAAGGTCTGTAATGAGGCCCCCAGGGGGTTTGTCAATCTGATCCCTACATATTCCCTCAACTTCAGGTCACATCTAAATTCTTCAGTCTATTGATGAGAACTGCTTCTTGCTCCTTGAACTTACCATTCTGTCCCTGGCCTCTGTGTCTCTGTCTACAATGCCTTTTCCAGCCTCATCCAACTCTAACACCATGGATCCTTTCAGAGTATAGGAGTCAGTCCTCTGGAAACATCCCTTAGCCACTCTCCACTCCCTCCCCTTACTAATCACTTGGGTGCCCCGGCTCTGAGCTTCTATAAGCCCTGTGCCCATTTACACCACTGTGCATCTTAATTCTATTATTGTTTATTGTATCAGTTTCCTCAACTATACCTTGAACTCTAGAAGGCAGGGCTGGGTCTTAATAATCTTTGTATTAGAGAAGGTTTCTAAAACTGCTACCCAACTCCTGACATCGAGTAAACATGCAGTGAATTTGTTTAATGGTTTAGCAAATAAGATGACTAAGAGAAGAAACAGACTGTCTTAATCCCAAAAGACATCAGATTAAGACTGACATTAGGGACACTAATGAGTTCACCTTCTTTCAATCACAGTTCTCCCAGTTGATATGGCTCCAGAGAATGCTGGTGCCAATGGCATTATTCATACCAGCTACAAGTTATTTTAACCACAACTCCCATAAGACTGCTTTGGACTACCCAGCTTTCCTCCCTGATTCATGTTTTATAAAACTATCAGACCAAATGAATTTCATATTTAAGATAATTTTGAAAAGGTAGCCAACAGCAATCCAGTCAAGTGAGCCATGACTTAAATGATATTACACATCTCTCTCTAGGAGGTGGCTGAATGGGGAGACAAAAATCCAAACTCAAAAAAAAAAAAGGCCCAATAACTCCGCATTACAATGGAGAGCCTTAAACAGCAAAGTATTATAAATGTTGCTGGATGCAAGGAAACTGTACAAAGAGGGTCCAAAGGATGGATTTACATAAAGAGAAACAAGGGGTAAGAAATTTCCATGGCAACTTCTGTTATCATAGACCTTGGACAATTTTCAGCTCTCCTTGTGTGAGGTTTGAAATGCTCCCACCTTAAACTGGCAGTAGACTGGCTTTCATATTCCCCTCCTTTCAGGAGCCATGGGACACCCCTGAGGACTGCCAGTCATTTACCAATGTCTGAGATTCTATTCCAGCGTTTTTTTTTCTGAGACGGAGTTTCACTCTTGTTGCCCAGGCTAGAGTGCAGTGGTGTGATCTTGGCTCACTGCAACCTCCGCTTCCCAGGTTCAAGCGATTCTCCTGCCTCAGCCTCCTGAGTAGCTGGGATTACAAGCGTGTGCCACCATGCCTGGATAATTTTTTATATTTTTAGTAGAGACAGGGTTTCACCATGTTGTCCAGGCTGAATGCAAACTCCTGACCTCAAGTGATCCACTTGCCTTGGCCTCCCAGAGTGCTGGGATTACAGGCATGAGCCACGGTGCCCAGGCCTATTCCAGCTCTTATTTTATCTTTAAGAAGTCTCGTTAATTTACTCAACAAATGTAGATTGAGGAACTTCTGCCTCAGTTGCTGTTGAGTCTTCCATTGTGAAGCCTATATTCTGGCACACAGATCCCAAATAGCTCATATTAAAACTGTGGGTGCCCTAATGAACACTAAAACCAAATGCAAAGTTCATGATACGAAATTATCAACATGTCTAAATTTTTTTCCCAAGGAATTTTAACTTTAAAAAAATTAATACATAATATTTATACATATTTATGGGGTCCAGGTACCATTTTGTTACATGCATAGGATGTGTAATGATCAAGTCATGGTATTTGGGTTATCCATTACCTCACGTATTCACCATTTTTGTGTGTTGGGAACACAAAATGTCTAGACTTACTCCTTCATTAATTTAAAGCTAATATTTGTACAATAAATAGGAATTACCCTCCTTAATCAATGCCTCAAAATGTCGCTTCTCATGGCTCTCCCTCCCCCTACCTCTGCTCCAAGGGGTCAGTGTGAAAGGCATAGGACATATTTGAGTTGTTGGGGGACGGCTGCAGGCATTAGTTAAGCATGTGCCAAGGACGCCAAGTCTTCTCCAATGATGCAACAATCCCACACAATGAAGAACTGTCCCATTCAAAATGGCAATAGCGTCCCCACAAGAAATACCGCTGGTCATGAGAGTAAGCTCAATATAATAGAGAGTCAATTCAACAAAAAGTTTTCAAATGCCTCCTGGGTGCAAGGCAAAGTGCTAAGAGATACAGAAATAAGACACAATTGTCTATCCTCGTAAAGCTCATAAATAGAGAGGTCTCCAAAAGAGCCATAATAACGTGCCAAAGATGTATTAATAACCACTATAAGGGAGAACTTCCTTCTAACATGGGAAATCAGGGAAAGAGTCATAGACGAGATGGTGATTGAAAGGGTATCTTAGTCCATTTTCTGTTGTTTTAACAGAATACCACAGACTGGGTACTTTATAAATACATTTCTCAGTTCTGGAGGCCGGGAAGCATGATGCCAAGAGCACAGCACCGGCATCTGGGGAGGGCCTTCCTGCTGCCTGATCACAAGAGGAGGTGGGAGGAGTGTCCTCTATCTTATAAAGCCACCAATCCCATCATGGGGTTCCCACCCTGATAACCTTATTTAATCCAAATTACTTCCCAAAGACTCCACCTCCACAAACCATTAACAAGAATTTGGGGATAAAGTTTTCACCAGATGGAATCTGGGGGACACATTTAAATCATAACAAAGGGTCTCAAAGGGTGCATAATAATAAGACAAATAGCCATAGTGGACAGAGAGGACGATGAATCAGGGGAAACATTGTTCGGCAAGACCTACAAAATGGAATGCAGAAATGTTTATTAACAAGCTGGTATATATGAAGGACTTGTGGGGAGAACCTTCTTTTTGTTGAGAAGATGTCTTGCTAAGTACCACAGGGGAAAACATCTGAGTCTGAAGGGCTTTACACTGAGTGGAAATGTCTTGTATTAGGCAAGAGGAAGGATTTGCTTGTTGCCCCAGAGATGGAAAGAGAAAGATGTGAAAACGTGAAAGCAGCACCAAAAGACAAAGCTTTATTCAACTAAGTGAAATGCAACCATGGGAGAATGACTGGCAGCCGAGCCTAGGAAAATATAAGAAACTTTCTTTGTTGTTTCTGAAAATTCCAACCAGTTCTCACTGCTTTTGTCAGGTTACTTGGTTTTTTAAATTTGCAAAAACATCATCATCATCGACAACAGCAGCAGCCACTCTTCAGCCCCAAAATGAATATTGCTGAAAATAGTGGTTTCATCTCTTACCTGCCTTGAAGTCCTTTGTGGCCCCAGAAAAAAAAAAAAAAAGAAAAAACCAAATTCTCCATCTCACTGACATATATCCCAGTATACTTCATTCACTGGTCCTAAAATCTAGAAATTTAGCAAGTAGTTGTGTAAGAAGTGGTTTATTCCACTGGAAATCAGTTTGGGGAGAATCTGGTCAAAGCCAAATCCCTGTCTACATAAAATATGGTACCTCTGAGTTTAAGTTTTATCGGCTGAGTGCTACATAAATGCAATAAAAGTTTTCGATACTGTTTTCCTTGCAATAAATATCCACTTTAGCAAATTGGAAAGGAGAAGGAAACGGGGTTCTGGAACGTGTAAATATCTGTAACTCAGAACTCAGCACGGGTAGTCACTGTGCAAACCCGTGCAGCCTTAGGTCACAGCCCTGGAGCAGGCCATTGCAGCTACCTTGTGAGAAGGTTCTTCACCAGAGGAGGCTGGCTGCACCGTCTATCCAACTGGAGGGTCAAGGCCAGTTCACTGCTGGAGGTCATCCTCCCTGTCCTCCATCCCTTTTGCACCTTTGCTGGAATGATCACCCAGAGATGCCGGTTTGAAAAGTCCCAGTGTCAGCCTGAGACAGTATAAGCTGTTTGCTTGTTAACACAAAGTGAACATGCAGAATTACCTTCAAAATGTAACCAGTGGCCTTTTGGGTAAAGAAGTCTTGGGGACCCCACTCACAAACTGGGATGCCCTCCCTGCCTACGGAAGGATATGAGAGGCTGCTCAGCTGTTGCCACTGAGGAGATTTAATGACTCCCCTGTGTGTGCATAAAACACACACCCTCTGTCACACACAGACACCTCTCTGTCACCCACAGGACAGGAACATTCATCATCCAGAAATACAGTGACTTCTCCCCTAAAAAATTAGCCCATTTGTAATTTGGGAGAAGAAAGGATAGGCTGCTGGGGAGAGCTGACTGTACTCTGAGTACCCTCAGTGGCAGAAGGACAATGGAAAGCTGTCCCCTCAGGCACAATCGGTTTTAGGGACGGGCCGAGCTGAGACGGTCTTTGATAGGAAAGAAGACCAGGGTGGGAAGCATGAGTTTCCTTACCTCCTCTCCCACCTCGATGTCCCGGACGGCTCGCAGTAAGAGGTGGGGCCCATTGAACACAATGGAACAGTTGGGGTCACAGCTGTGATTGAGCAAAGAGATACTGGAAGAAAAAGGGGGAGACTGTCACAGCTCAGCAGGTAGAGTCGAACAACTCAATCTAACAAATGCAGTGAGTAAAAGATACCTTCCTTTGTGGGGCAGGAGCAGGTAGGGTTGACGGGACACCAGGGACTCAGTATTCAGGGTACATTCACAGAAATGCCACTCGCACACTTCCTAGGAAGTACAATTCTCCCCAAGATGCAGGCTAATTAGGGAATTCTATCATTTAATAATGAAAAAATTTTCTGAGTCCTTTTTGGGGACTGGGGCATAGTTGATTGATTAGATAACAGTCAATAAAGCAGCCAAACATGGTCAGAAAAACCTGACTCACAAAGAAATACTTAGAGGGCTGGGTGCGGTGGCTCACATCTGTAATCCCAGCACTTTGGGAAGCCGAGGTGGGTGCATCATTTGAGGTCAGCAGTTTGAGACCAGCCTGATTAAACATGGTGAAACCCTGTCCCTACTAAAAATACAAAAAATTAGCCGGGCATGGTGGTACATGCCTGTAGTCCCAGCTATTCAGGAGGCTGAGGCAGGAGAATCACTTGAACCCGGGAAGTGGAGGTTGCAGTGAGCCGAGATGACACCATTGCACTCCAGCCTGGGTGACAGAGTGAGACTCCGTCTCAAAAAAAAAAAAAAAAAAAAAAAAAAAAAAAAAAAAAAAAGAAGAAGAAAAAGAAAAAAAATACTCTCAGACATAATAATGGGATGCAACAGCCAAGATACCACTGACCTTTCCCATAGGATCTCATTTGTTGAGCTCCTTTGGAGAAATGATGGCCTTTGCTAGAACATCCACATTGAAGAATAATTAGGAGTATTTGCTCCTAAATAGAGAGCTGATGTTATTTTGTCAACTACATCCTGATGCATCCTGGGCCACGGTCCAGTCGTTTTGTTACCTTGGAGGTATATTTCTTACCGTCTGGGAAACACACTGGATTTAAACTGCTATGAGAAATTGACAATAACTAGAATGAGCACTTATATGTAGGAACACTTTCTTGCATTTGAGCACATTCATCACATTTCATCCTCACAACGATCTTATGAGGATCATTTACCGGTAAAGAGGCTGCTGCACAGAAATTCAATGGCTTGCCCAAGGACATACAACTAGTAAGTGGCGATGGAATTTGGACCGGGGCCGGAACTCAGAGCCCACGCTTTGAATCATCCTATGCTACTGCCTTTTGAGAACCACCTACCAGTAGACCTGACCTACGGTTAATCACAATGGTGAGAAATAAGAAAAAAGGCTGAATTCTTAAGTTCACAATTATTAGCAAGTCTAAATTTGCATTTGGACTCTTATGGCATAAAAACAAAATGAAACTGGGCGTGACTATAGTGCTTGCGGGAAGACAGTTTCATAGCTCAGTGGGAAGGTTCAGCTCAGCAACGGCTGGAGAGCGTTCAGGGGCCAAAGCCTCAGAGTTTTCTTGCCCCCCTGAGTGAAGGGGCTCAGAGTACGCCAGCGCGAAAGACAGAATGAACCCAACTGATGCGTACGGCAAATCTGGTGAAATAATCACGTGCTTCAGCTCAGGAAATTGGGGAATAACCAAAAATCAGCCTGATGGCTAATTAGCACCTACCGTCCTCAACTTCTTCCCAAAGTCCCCCTGAGAATAAGAATTTAGTTCTGAGATCTGCCCATTTGTTAATACCACAGCATATAATGTGGGATTATAAAATTTTTTCTTTAAACTTAACATTTTCCATTTTTTTTTTTTGGTAATTTATTGCTAAGTTTTAAGCTTGGCTCTTGAACAAGCTGCTGAAGCTGCCTTTGTAACTGCCTCTAAAGGGCTGGGGATTTGGGTGGGAATGAAAGTGCGCCTTCCAGTAAATGAAGCACCATACACCATACCTAGGATACAGGCCAACACCAACTTCCTGCATCTCAGCATTACAGATGGTGAAAGAGTTGCAGATCACCTGTAAAAACAAGGGGGAAAACCATCAATATTACCAGAGTCACTTAAGAAACTTCGTAGCCAAGAGAATGAAACTTTTCAAAATCAAATGTAGGAGCGTCTTAGTAGTTGCGTAAGAAAGATCCAAGCCAATCATGGATGCTCTTTGATTTACAACAGAATTTATCTGGGATATACTCCCCCTAACAACATGAGGTGGTTAAGTGCAGAAACACCAACTTCCTGGGGGGGAAAAAAAACAGACTTAAACCAACATGAACCCATTAATTTCAGTATCATTATCCACTACACCCAAAGTTACAGTTACATGAAATGTTCGAAATTCAGAATACAAATAAGCTATTTATTGAAAACCAGACTCCTACAGTATCATGATTTTTTCACTCAAACTGCATGCAGTTTCCAAATGCCACCGTGTATCTGTTGAGTAATGGCAACTTGTCTCTTACTCCCCAAAAAGCAAAGTATCGGCCACGCGGTGGCTCACACCTGTAATCCCAACACTTTGGGAGGCCAAGACGGGTGAATCACGAGGCCAGGAGATCAAGATCATCCTGGCTAACACGGTGAAACCCCGTCTCTACTAAAAATACAAAAAAGTAGCCGGGCGTGGTGGCGGGCGCCTGTGGTCCCAGCTACTTAGGAGACTGAGGCAGGAGAATGGCGTGAAACCAGGAGGCGGAGCTTGCAGTGAGCCAAGATCGCACCACTGCACTCCAGCCTGGGCGACAGAGTGAGACTCCGTCTCCAAAAAAAAAAAAAAAAAAAGCAAAGTATCCCGAGTGAGCCTGTAATGCGATACACGTTGATGAAGACCACAGGGAGCACCGGAGGTCATTTAGTCAAGCCATGGCATTTACTAGAAGTCCCATCACTGGGTATACGGCACAGTCCTATGTCTTACGCGGGGATGGAGCGAAAACAGTAAAAGACACAATCACTGTGCTCAAGGAACTTAAAAACCTCGTTTGTGAAAGAAGGTTGATGTATGAGGTCACACAGAACCATGGAAAGAGCACTGGACCAGAATCAGGATATCTAGATCCCGGCTATAATCACCCCTTCAGACAGGTGCGAGGAAAAGAGCAGTGAAGAACAAAACCAAAGTCCCTGGCCCTGTGGAGCTCAAGTTCTAGTTGAATAGACAGATTAAAAAAAAAAAACCCAACGATAGAAAAATGTCACTTGTAGATAAATGCCAAGGAGATAAACAAAGTCCTTGCAGAGAACAAAAGTTGTCAAGAAAGCTCTTTAGGATTAGTTGTCATGTAAGCAGTGACCTGAAAGGACTGCTGAAATGAACGTGTGTATTTATAGGCGATAAAGGGTCATATCAGGAGAAGACCAAGCGTAAAGGCCCTAAGCTAGGAATGCCCGTGGTTACAGGGGAACAGCAAAGAGGCTAGTGCGACCAGGGCAGAGTGGGTAAGTAGAGGGCAAAATACGAGCTCAAAGAGGGAGTGAGGTCATTTAGGGCCCTACCGTCGCGTTTGGGTTTTGCTCTGAAGGAGACAGAAAGCCACTGGAGTTTGAGCCAAGGCGTGAAGGAGTCTGACTTCTGCTTTCAAAGGATCGTTCTGGCTGTTGTGTAGAGAATGGGCCATTAAAAGGTGAACGGAAGAGGAGAAAATGGTTAGGAAGTCACTGCTGGAGCCCAGGTGGTGGACAATGGTGACTTGGAGGTCAGTGGTGGGAGAGGTGGGCGACACAGCCAACACGACTCACTGCAGGACGGCATATGGGTAATGAAAGAAGTCAGGATAACGCTTGAGCTTCTGGCCTGAACAAGTGGAAGATCATAGCTACCATTTATTAAGATGAGGAAGAATTTAACAGGAACAAGTTCGGTTACAGGGAATTGAGGGGAAGTCCAACAGTTCTGTTTTGGTTACGTTACATTTGAAATCCAAGCAAAGACTAAGAACGAACAATTGGAGTTCACAAGAGGCCTTGCGCCTAGAGATATAAATTTAGGATGAAACATGACAAAGGCCATCAAAAAACAGAAAAAGGAGAAGAGGCTAAACATTTGAGATGAACCAGAGACTATAAATGGATGCTGACTTGTTACAAAATTTCTGTGGAGGAAAAAGTGATGACAAATTTCTCAAATCAGGTTTACATGATAGAACACGAAGCATGAAAACGCGTTGAGTCCTTTGAGACTCTTCCGCTGCTCCAAACAGCTCTTACATGAAATCTGGTGCAACGTATCAAGATTTGGCTTTTTTTCCCTCTAAATATGTGATAAAATTGCAGTTTCAAATCAAGAGAAAAATTGTATATACATATTTGTAAACGAGTACTAAATTGCTTTAAGGACATCTATTTTGCATTAAATAGCAACAGTATATTGTCTATATATACTTATGTATAAAATAGATGGTAAAAATATAGGACAAAAACTCCTATGTTTAATTTTTGAAATTTTAAACATTTTCAAATGTGTATAATTTGGGGAGGGATATATGTTTTAACACATATTTTAAAGTATAATGAGAACTTCAGCCGAAGTAATCCACCAACAAAAAAGCCAGGTCAAACACATCTCATCTGTTAACTTCTGAATCAAACCAGCATGGTTTTTTCCTGAACTATGAAGCAAATTAATGGTTTTTTTCAAAATAGGAAAAAATCTTTATCAGTTTTATTCCATTGGTTTATTCTGATGGATTCTGATGGAATGTTTAAGAAGGAAAAGCTAACAAAGGGAAATGTCAGCTTGTCTGTCTTCCACTGGGAAACTTTTCCTGATTTTCTAAGATGACTTTCCTCGTTAGCAGCATTTATCATACTGGATCATTATTTGCCCATTTACTTGCCATCATACACAACTAGATCGTAAAATACTTGCAGGGCAGACATAGTGTTTCATTCATCACTCTAGTCCTGTACCTGGCACAAAGCCTGGCAAACAGAAGACACTAAAGAAAGTATTTCTCTTTTTTAGAGACAAGGTCTCACTCTGTCATCCAGGCTGGAGCGCAGTGGTGCGATCATGGCTCACTGCAGCCTCGAACTTCTGAGCTCAAGCAATCCGCCCTTATAGCCTCTGGGGTGTAACTGGGACCACAGGCCAGCACCACCACCCCTGCCTAATTTTTAAAAACTTTTTGTAGAGATAGGAGTCTTGCTGTATTGCCCAGGCTGACCTTGAACTCCTGGCCTCAAGTGGTCCTCCCGTCTCGGCCTCCCAAAATGCTGGGATTACAGGAGTGAGCCACAGCTCCTGGATTTCATCTATACTGGTCTGAGTGTTACGTGTTAGTCTTTCTGGGCTAGTATACAGAAGGTTTAGTGTTTTGCCTACTCTCACTTTTATTTAAAATGCTGGTTCCATTCAGTACTATCTCAATCAATAACCTGACAGGAAGTATTTTTGACACACACAACTGAGAGCAACAGTGGATATGCGGAAGCTCTCAGGTTTTTTTTTTTTTTAAATGAAAGAGTAGGTAGATAATATGTCCATGTGTGCCCAGTAACTTGAAAGGAATTGTTCTTTATATCAATAATTAAAAGAATGGAAATAAAGCCCAGAAATAAAAGTTTAAACATTTTTCAAAGTATTCTCTTTGTGAAAACAGTTTTCTTAGGGAACTGCACAGGTTAAAACAGTAAACGAATGCATGTCACAAAAAGATAATATTTAGAAAAGTATATTAATGGTACTATTTCAATAAAAATAAATGCAACTGGGTTAATGAATTCATTCTAAAAATTAAGCTTGAGTATTACTTTAGAAATTTTTACCGTTTCTTAAAACTATAACACATATTTAAATTATTTTATTATTGCATGTAAAGTTATATTTACTTTTCATAATTTTTCCTTTAAACTAATTGAAAGCCTTCATATCCAACATTATAGTTTTTCTAGAAAACAAAAATCTAGTGAGTTGCCATTGAGCCTCTGTGTTTTATAAAAACAACTACAGTGAAATTTAAAATGTTCTGTGAACCAAATTCTTATGTCATTTGGTTCAGAGTCTAGGTACAGAAACTGACATTTGTGTTCTGAGGTTAACAATTCCCCCGTAGATTAGACACAAATAGCAAAATCAATACCAACACATAAAGTGAATACCTCAGAAACCTTATAAAATAAGTGTATTACCATGTATTCAAATTTCACATTTTTCTTGAAATTCTTAGGACTAAAGGCTTTGTATTGTAGCAGCAGTTAAAATGAGATATTTGCAAAACAAGAGAAAATCACTACTATGCCATTATCTTGCAATGGTAAAAATCAGAACAGCCATAAGAAAACTCACCACCAGTCAGAGCTGAGTAATTCTACACCATAACTCAAGAACCCAGCCACTTCCCAACCCCGTCCCCCAATTACTGAATTCTACACAGCCTATTTCAAATAATCCTTCCAATTTCCAAATATACGTATAAATTTTAAAGCACATTTAAAAAGAAGGGAATTCCGTGTCTGAACACAACTGTCCAGTGGTCTCCTCCAAGACAATCTGCATCTCCTTTAAAACTTCTCGTCTGAAATGTTCAGCACAATGCTTGGCACACTAGACTTTAGGCACATCAAGTTTACTAATTAGAGGGACTAAATGTGAATTTTCAAAACGGAGTTTAATGCACTTAGTTTTATTAAACTCTGTGGACAGAAAGACTGGAAGGAGGAAGAGTTGGCAGGTATGAAAACCAAAAGCAGAGGTTTTTACACAACATAATTGCCTCCGCTCCCCAGTCCCCCCACTCCTAGAACTAATATTTCTCTAACTTTAAAAGCATAATAAGTATTTTAATCAGGGTATATTTTTCTCTACCCATAGAATATGACGGGTTATTAAGTACAGATTTTTTCTAAAATCTTCTCATAAACCTTAAGAGATTAAAAATTTTATCTCCCAGTCCCTCCTATCTGTATGGCAAATATTAATCCATCTTTCAGGACTCAATTCAGGCCTTGCCTGTCCCATTCCCTCTTTTGGTCACATAGTTATAATTTTTGCTCGCCCTAAGGCTAAAGGGTTTG